CCTGGAAGCTGTGAACCGACTTAATCCCCGAACATACCTGCCTTTCATTTTCAATCTAATTTTTTAAATATCTGAACTAGTCTGAACTAAAAATTAACGGTAAGTATTAAGTATTACGCCTAGATTGAAGTAGATTGAGATTCTAGATAATAAAATTAGTAAGCATTCCTGACTACTGTAAATTAACTGTAACTTAGTGTAACTAGATCTAGTTACGGTTAGTATCTAGTAACTAGTAGAATCTAGTAAAAGTAGACTAGTTATTAGTAGTTAAGTATCAGGACAGTTATTGAGTTGAGTTAAGTAAAGTTAAGTTAGTAGTAGTAGCCTGCCTCAGTGGCGTAGCGAGGTTGGGTGTCACCCGGTGCTGCACTTAATAGTGTCACCGCCCCAGAGGCGTAGCAACCCTTCCCGGGGACAAACTTTTAACTTTCGATTTGCACCCCCCCTCAAACTTTTGATTTGCACCCCCCCCCCCTCCCTCAAACTTTCAATTCTTACCTCTTAAAAAAGTATTTAACACTCGAATTAATCACTAAATTAAGTGGAATTATCATTTTTCTCTATACATTTTGCTATTTTTTGCCTTGGTGTCACCCCCCTAAATGGTGTCACTCACCCAGTGCGGTCCGCACCCCCTGCACCCCCCTCGCTACGCCTCTGGCCTGCCTATAACTATAACTATAACTCACTATCATATTGACTATACTATGAGTTCATTTTCACTTACTGCGTTGGCCTACTTAATTTAAAAGGTACATTGACATTGGGAAAATTTCCCTGATTATGACGTAGATTTATGGAAAATTATAACCCATTTCTAAATAGGCCCTACACAAAAATAAAAAATTATCATTCTCGGCCAAATAGGTTTTTAAGTACAAATTTTCAAAGTTATGTAACTCATTAGTCATTAGGTTTAATTGTAAATGGACCCGAGCGAGAATAGTCTCCAAAGGTGTTTGAGAAACCCATAAAATATTTTAAAAATCATAGGCCTAAGCTATGTAATTAAAATTAATACGGGTTATAAAATCCTGACTATTTGGTTAGCAGCGATGGCCTCACCATGACCCCAAATACGTGTTTGATACTGCTTATGGGGGAAAAAATAAAAATGATGTCACTATCGAAGACAATTTCAAATAGTTTTTCCTGCAATACCTATGCTATAAGCCTACAGATAAAAAAAAAAAACAACTAAACTCACCATGTCTCCAACAGTGTCTTGTTTGTGGATGAAAAAAATATGATACGGGCTGTTTTTAATAAGGGGTCTTTCATAAATAATGTCGCACGAAAGGGGGGGGGGGGGGGTATCCGTAATTTTGTGGCGTATGATAGGGGGGGGGGGTTAGATAGTGTAATGTCATAATTTTGTATTTAAAAAAGTAATGTTAGAAACTGAATTTTAGCCGCTACTACGCATTTTAGAAAACAGTTTTATAAAATGTAATAGAAATTGATTAAAATAAGCTATGTTGGTCGAGCTCAGTCAATATTTTAGAAAAAAGAATCGATGTTTAGAAGAAAAAAAATTCTAATTCAATTTTGAGGAGGGTTGGGGGAGCCATTCCTGGTTCCAAAAACATAAATAACAATGTGGCTTGGCTACCAAAATTGTTAACTTTGGTTTACATATCAGACCCTTTCTAATTTCAGCTAATCTGGTCGATTTCATTTTCCATCACATGAGCCTAACAATTTCAAATTACAATTAAAATAACTCTAGGCTCATTACAGTTAAAGACTAACATTTTTACCATACCAATCTTTAAAAGAATAAAGGCATAATTTAAAATTGAAAACAAGATTAAAACAAGACTAGATTAGTACAGTTTAAATTAGCTGGATGCTAAAATAAAACTTAATTGCCTCTTTTGTTACATTGTAAACATTTTTAAAAAAATTTATTCATAAGGTTAACATTAAATTGCAATTAGACAAGACTTTCAATGTTATTTTAGAGTAATATAAACTTCTTTTATTTAAAAGATCAGCTCATTAAACAATTAGTACATAAACAGTGTGAGACTGCTTTAACTGCAATCAAAAATAGATAAAACATATTGAGTATACAAAGAAAATTTCCTTTTTTTTCCTTGTCTGGTCTCATCCCTGATTATTTTTAGGTTTAAGTTTTTATTTTTTATTACTTCTACGGCCTTTAAAAAAAATGAAATTTATCCATGTCAGCGATAAGATAGAAGTATTCTCATCAACTTGCTGGCCTCCATTGCATTCAAGAGTTGTGATTGGTTTTAAACTTGCATACCCTTGTTGCTATTAAAGACATGATAAACTTTGCCAGGATAAAGGCAATAGAAGTCTGTAAAAAAATAAAAGTTAGAAAAAATGATAACAAGCAATGGGGTCATCCTTAAATGACGTCATGCTTTTTTTGACGATTTTTACCTCCCCCCTCCCCTCTGTCACACATCACAAAAAGCAAGACCCCCCCCCCCCCCCCATAAAATGACATCACACCTCAGCCTATAACCCCCCTCAAAATTGCTGTAGAATTTTTTTAAAACATTGATATTTTTCCAAAATCTTGTCAGAACTCTGTCAACATTGAGTATTTTGATAAATCCTATTACAATTTATTAAATCCGTTTTCTAAAACGTGAAATAACGGTTAATACTAGTTTTCTAACATTGCTTTTTTATAATGCAAAAAAGTGGCGTCACACCATCTGAACCCCCCTCCCCTGCACCCTACGAGTGTGACGTCATTTATGGACGACCCCAATAATGAAGTCAAATTTAGGGGCGTTGCACAGTTCACTGTTCTATAGTGACTGCCATAGGTTGTTATTTCATATACCACCATGAGACTTTAGATATTAGGACTAGAGAATGTAAAAATACAAACATGCAAGTAAAATAAACATAGCTAAAGGAAAACTAAAAATAATGAACATGAATAATGGTGCAGCACTGTCAGATTATGATGATTAACTACAGGCTAATTTCAATATTGTATTTCTTTGGTGCTGCTATAAAAAATGATGATTGAACTTTGCATATTGATTCCTATGTAAGTAATAAGAATGTTAGTATAGGCTCTACATATTGTACAGGCAATGTATAGAGTTAGAGGCTACTAAATACAATACAATGATTAAGATACTTCACGATTTGACATAAACTTTGCATTTGTGTCAGTGTGTGGCATGCTTAGAATGTTATTATTAATTTAGAAAATTATGGTTCTCATAATGTTTCTGAAGCAAAATATTGAGATATGCTAAAACTCAAAGATTGACATTTCACAATTACAATATTCTTATTTATAAAATATTTACTGAAGTTGACCTAATCTTTGATACATTCCTAAAATCACATCAATTAAAGTGTTAATTTTTCTGTGTTAAACTTTTCTTTCCATTACAGTTGCCTATAACTAAAACTCTATATACTGTAGCCTATAAAAATTGGCATTATCATTTTTTCTTTAGGTCCTTTATAGATCTATACAGATCTGTCAGTAGGCAATCTAAGTTTTTTTTTTTACTTTACACACCTCTAGATCCAATAATATTTTAGTGTGTTTTTTTTCCATTGAGATTCAATTTAAAAAACATTGTTTGCAATATATCAGGGGGAAACATAAAGGTAGATTAGTTAGTACCAGCCTTTTTACATCAAAGAATCCTAACTCTGAACAGCTACACACTAGCTATACCTATGTGCCTACTCTAAACTACTAGAAAGTAGTCCCTATGTAGAGTACAATTGTATAAATTGTGTACTGGATCAATGGGACCTAGTGATAGCTGGTATCATTTAAAGTGTGTGTACACATGGCCTGGCTTCATAAGCCCCAAAAGCTGATTTTGGGGGTTATGGATTTAAATGCTAGGTTAAACCAATTTAAAGTAAATTTAATAGCCTTTGTTATTATTAATATGTGTTGAATAATTGTGCATTATTTTCAATATTAAAAACTACTTGGATTAGTAAAAATCTTTTAAAATGTACGGGTGCTAAAAAGTGGGGCACTTAGTTTGTCAGATTTAAAATTCAAAATAGCACCTATTCATATTTCAGGTAATATTTACATAAATATATATAAAAACTTTAAAAAATTTGAAGTGTTTTGTCATTTTGTTATTGTATATAAGTTTTCATTATTTATGTTTGTGAATTTTGTAAAACAAATTTAAAACCTAGTACATAATCTCAGCTTGAAAAAAAAATATATTTAAATATGTAACCAAACAACTAGTTGCAAAAAAGGTCTGGTATAAAAAAATACTACTCAAACTATTATGTAATCACTGTGGTACTAAATGTTTACAAGTAGAATAGAAGCACCATTCTTCATTTAAAAAAATTCTTCCTGTTTATGTAATTTAGTTACTTTTTTTATATGTTGAAGATTATGTACATATATATATATATATATATATATATATATATATATATATATATATATATATATATATATATATATATATATATATATATATATATATATATATATATATATATATATATATATATATATATATATATCACAAAGGCTTTTTTTTAAATAATAGAATAGCTTCAAAATGGATTATCACTATTACTTGGATTATTGAATTAATTAAAAAGATTTCTGAATGAATGACATGTGGCAAAATACTGTGGTTAATAACAGCCAAATTATGCAACATAATAAATATATTTTATTTTAATAGTAACTATAAGTCAACCTTCTGATGTCAGTTTAAGTATATCCACTAGAATCTAACCACCCTTCCTTTCTAATTTATCCATATTTCATATAAAGTGCAATTACAACATGTTATTGGGGAAAAAGCAATTATATAATCATATCTAAGTTAGCTTTAAATATATTAGATTTATATATGTAAAATAAAATGAATAGTATTTTTGTCTAAGGAAACTAAGAGAAAGAAAAATCAACATTTTATTAAAATGAAATTTTTTTTTAATATTTAATTTTTATTTGATTTACCGTCAATTTTAATTTTATTTTCAGTTTTTGACAACTTTTGATCAATTGTACAATGCAAAGCACTAACGAAATTGATGGTAGAGTGCAAAGTGCTTGTCAGAGTGAATTGGAGTTAATACTCAAGGATATGAAAAGTGATATATTACAAACAAATGAAGATTTTAAACCAAATTTATTGACACAATTTTCAACTTTAGACAACAAAAAACCAGTTGAAAAAATGCAACATTATACTTGTGATGATATTAAATCAAATGAACCAAAGCCATTTTTTATTTCAAATGAAATAAAATCAGATAATTTAACATTATATTCAAATTTTGAAGATGAAAATTTGGACAATACATTTTCAACTCTCAAAGATATGAAACCAACATCTTTTTCAATGTTTGAAGATACTAAACCAGATATATTGACACTTTCATCATTTGAGGGTAAGCAGAATCATGGTTTAGAGGTACCTCAACAGCTTGAAATTTCACCAAATTCAACTGCTTTCAATGAAAATAGTACTGTTTTTAACTCAGATCTTCATACAACATTTATTGATAATCTCCCATCAATACATAACCTTAATAATAAGGGACAGAAGACGAACAAGTGTGATATGTGTTGTCAAACATTTTCACATTTTGATAAAATTACACAACATCTGAAAACTCACACCGGAGAGATTCCATGTGGGTATGATTTGCATCAACAAAAAACTGTTATAATTAATCATGTTAAGCAACATAAGAAAATAGTTACAAAACAGATACACAAAAAGTCTGGTTTGAATACTGGAGATGGATCATATGAATGTGATATGTGTCATAAAATGTTTAAACAAAGGTCTAATTTATCTCGGCATAAAAATATTCATTCTGGACTTAAACAATATGAATGTGATATGTGTCATAAAATGTTTAAACAAAGGTCTAATTTATCTCGGCATAAAAATATTCATTTTGGACTTACACAATATGAATGTGATATTTGTCATAAAGTGTTTAGCTGTAAAAGAAGTTTATCTGAGCATAAAAATATTCATTCTGAATTTAAGCCATATGAATGTAATATTTGTAACAAAAAGTTGAATTCTAAGTGGAATTTATCTCAACATAAAAAATTTGTTCATTATGGAGTTAAGCGACATGAATGTGATGATTGTCATAAAACGTTTATTTATGAGTGGTATTTATCAGATCATAAAAAGCTTCATTTAGGAGAGAGGCCACATGAATGTGAGGTATGTCATAAGAAGTTTAGTTACAGGTCAAGTTTATCTATGCATAAAAAAATTAAACATTCTGGACTTAAGACATATGAATGTGAAATATGTCATAAGAAGTTAAGTACACAGAATTATTTTTATCATCATAAAAAAATTCATACTGGACTTAAACCATATGAATGTGATGTTTGTCATAAGAAGTTTCTTAGAAAGAATCATTTATCTCTACATAAAAAGGTTCATTCAGAGGAGAGGCCATATGAATGTGAAATATGTCATAAGAAGTTTAGTAGAAAGAATTATTTATCTGAACATAAAAAAATCCATACTGGATGTAAACCACATGAATGTGATGTTTGTCATAAGAAGTTTATTAGAAAGCATATTTTATCTGGACATAAAAAGGTTCATTTAGATGAGAGGCCACATGAATGTGATGTTTGTCATAAGAAGTTTAAAAGAAAAGATCATTTATCTCGACATAAATATGTTCATACAGTCCTTAAGGCACACAAATGTGATGTTTGTCAACAAACGTTTAATCAAAAGTCTAATTTAGCTAAGCATATAAAAATTCATATTTGATTTAAACCACATGAATTTGATGTTAGTCATAAAAAGTTTATCAGATGTATATTTTAACTAAACACAAAAATATTCACTCTGCACTTAATCCACTTTTGATGTCATGCTTGTCAAAAAGCGATCTTTCAGAGGTATAGTTTATCTAATCTCAAAAATATTCACTCTGGATTTAATCCATATGAATATCATTTTTTCTCAAAATGTTTAGTGAGAAAGGTCAGCTATCATATGATCAAAAGATTTATTAAGGAGACAGTCCACATGAATGTCATGTGTGTCAAAGAATGTTTATTCTGAAGCATCATTTAGCTCAACATAAAAGTATCATTTGGGAATAAGGAAATATGAATGTGTTGTGTGTCAAAATTCTCACATAGTAAATGGACCATCTGAAGTTAAAAGTTTGACATACAATGTTGTTTATTGATTGAACCTTAAAATATGCATGTTTCGATATTTGTCATTAACACAATAATCTTCGCTCAATGAACTTCAAGAAAGATATAACAGTAACACTCTTTTTCTTTTCTGAATGTTAACAATGTTCTTTCAACCAAAAGAATATAATTTTTTTTTCTATCTATTGTATGTGTTTTTTTCTACAAAATTCTCTTACTGTTTAAGTCCTCTAGTTCCAGTTTGCAAGAATAGCATGTTAGCAAATTTTACACAATTCACTTAATCACTTACATTAATTGCATACAATCTATACATTTTTTATATTATAAAAATAACATCAATTCACTTTGAATTTTACAATCAAATAATTATTAATTGGAAAAAAAACCCAGGATATTGTTGCGATGTGAGGTGAGGGCAGGTTCGATAATAATTAAACACGAAGTCTGCAGGTTCGATAATAATTAAACACGAAGTCTGTATACAATTAACTTCTTTATTGGTTGAAAGATCAAATAAAACCTAGGCTGCCTATAGGACCCCCCAAACTTTCCTAACCCCGCCTTTTATACCCTACCTAACATCTAAGTTTTCTGCGTAATATGTCACTTTCCTCCCAATCATTCCTATGCTACAAAATGTGTGCGTACTATTTATTTACAAACTTTAATCTCAATATAACTAAAATAAACTATAGCTTCAAGGTTAATGAAAACATGTAAACAAAAGGGACGCTACTCTAAATCAATGTCAATACTTATATCCTAACATACCCCCTTCCCCATAAAGGCTAATAAAATATCCCTAATATGTTATTAGCTAGGACACAATAGACACAACAAAACGAGACAAATCTTGTCTTCCTTCTTGAGCCAATATAGTTGCTTGTAAGAACTTGAAACAGCCAGAAGCTAATAGGAATAAACAAATATACCAAGCTAACAATCTTAAGTTACTAAGTCAAATTTCAAATGCATACTATCTTAACTTGTACCTTTTCCTTCAAACATTGTTAACATCTGATTATTTCACATATATAAGGAAATAAGTCCTCTAGTTCTCGTTAGCAAGAATAGCATGTTAGCAAACTTTACACAATTCTATGAATCACTCACATTGATTGCATTAAGTCTGTAAATTTTTAGCGCAATTTCCATTTTGGAGAATTGCGTTTATTAACTCGTCATTTCTGGGAATGTATAAATGGATGGATGGATGTGTGTCCGCAGCTTTAAGTCGTCTTTAAGTCGTATCTCCTCCTCAACGAAGCAATATCGAGGACTAGTTCCAAAAGCAAATATGTTAAGCAAGTTCCGAGGATGAACATAGGCCAAAAAAATTCCCGGAATTCCTTCCTGGATTTCCCGGAAAAGCCAAAAAACCTCGAAAAAAATGCGCGGCAATAGAGAGCTACGCGTCGCTTGGTTTTTTCCACGTGCTAATGTTTACAAACAAGAGGGCGGGTTTTAATCATAGCCAAATACTGATATAAACGTTTTAATATTTGGGCACTGTTGCTGAATATATGATTTATCTCGATTTAAAATTGTTATGGATAACATAAGGAAATTGCGCTTAAATTGTCACTAGACTTTTTAATAACTTGTTTATTATAAAAATAACATATGAATTCACTTTTAATTTTACAATCAAATAATAACTAATGAAATGAAAAAAAAACCAGGATATTATTTAGTTTCACATATAAATATGAATCCCTAAAAAAATACGCGAAAAACATTTTCTGTATTGTAGCATGAAATGATCACTGATTAGTATGAGAGATCAATGCTTTTAAATTATTTTCTTTTTATGCTTTTGATAATTTAGAATTAAAAAGCATTTAAAAACAAATATTTTAATTGTTTTAACTATGTCTTGAATATATTTGTGAGGAATTCTTATGTTGGATTGTAAAATACTAATTAGACTGTATACTTGATAGGGCTCTGTCCTGTTTGGTACATTCTTCCAGATGCCAAAATGTAAAATATTAAAACCTTATCAAAATTGTTCTGAAATTTTAAATTAGTTGAAACCAAATCATTGCATTAAAATAAATAATGTATGTTTAATTCATTTGTAATTTTTTTGAAAACATGTTTTTAACATTTGTTTCATATTTTTATTACTAAAATAAATTTGGACTTGCTGATCCACGGAGCAGAAGAAGTAGAGTTCACCTGTTACTTTTAACCCAGCATGTGAAGAGATAGTGCTGTAATCACTATGTCCAGCAGCTTTAGATTCCCAAACATGAGTCAGGTACCCACTAGTGCAGAGTGAACTCAGGGACATCCTACAATAATAAAAAACTAAGAATTTATTGTAGAAGTGTGTATTAACCTTGTATTTAGTGTCAATTCATCATTAAAATAAAAGTTATGCATTAAAATATACATATGACATAATACTATAATAGATTCTTAGGAATATTATAGGCTATGGGTAAAATTGACCTACCTTGTAGTAAAATACAGTAAAATAAAACAAATACAAAGAAAACCTTCCAAATAGCAAGCTTTTAAATGCACAGATTAAGAAAATAAAAATAATTTAATTTCTTTCATAAAAGCTTTGGTAACTCATGGGATTTTTTTTTTAGCTAGGAAAATAAATTAGTTTTTTAACTACAGTTCTGTCTGTAGCTGCAAGTCTGAGCTCCAGCAAAGAGTATAAATCACTACATGTGTCCACCCACAGGTTAACTCTTGCTTGAGAATCCCATCAACCTGTAGTATATTACAGCTCTCCCATTGACAAAAAGATGTCTTGTGTTCCCCATGACTACAATGTCCTGAATACTTAACTATTTCAGTATTGTTACCCACTCCACAATGAACAAAGAAAAGAATTTACTATAAGAAAGTCTTTGGGTGTTATCCACCCAGTTGCCAGGAATCAGAAGAAATAGTATTTCCCACTATAAAAAGTGTCCAGGTATGATCCACCCAGTTGCCGGGGACAGGGTACCAAATATGTTGCCGAGGAAAGGGTTAAGAAACATGAATGTGATTTATGTCATAAAAGTTTTGATTGGAGTTGTAATATCAAGCAAAAAAATATGTGGACAAAATTATTCATGTACAAAATTTACAAATCAAATTAACTGAAGAGTATGGCACACAAGCCTCATGGAACCACTGATCACACAGAACAACTCACCCAATTCATATACCTACCATCCACACACTAGTCTTTCTAAACTTCTTCAATCCCACATTCATTACACAATTCAATTTCACCATCATCCACCTCCAGACTACACATTTTCACAGACATATTTTCACATTTTCTACATTTGCAACAATATCAACATTTGCAGCATCAGCAAATTTTGCCACATCAACATTCATTTGCAACATCAACAACAGTTGCAACATCAACATTTGCAACATCAACAACAGTTGCAACTTCAACATTTGCAACATCAACAACAGTTGCAACTTCAACATTTGCAACATCAACAACAGTTGCAACATCAACATTTGCAACATCAACCCCACCAACAGCATAAACATCAACCTCAGCACCAACACCAGACAGTTTCATCATTAATAATGGCAAAAGGTTTTCCAGACCTAAAATTGTTAATAAAACTATGCAACAAATCAACATTGGTTAAAAATTGCTGTTCTTCCATATATTGAAAGAGACTTTTCAGCTCACTGGTAGTAGATTCAACAATGTTGTACCTGCCTTCTGCAGTTCTCACATTCTGTTTTGTATTACTAATACAATCAACAATATCTGAAGCTGGACACTCAGAAGAACTAAATAGAGGCTTACACTTAATGTAATAGGGGCAAAAACTAGGTCTAAAGATAAAAAAAACTTCTCAATGCCAGAATGTGTTGACAAAAGCAAGAGAGAAAAAAACAGTCACAAGAAACAGGGGAAACAGTACAGGACAAACAATCACTCAACTTATCATTCAAAACATTATAACTTTCATCACCATTTGCAACAATGTTATAATTGATGGATTTAAACAGACATATCTGCTGGCCAACCAATTCTGCCCCAAAAGGTGTGAGTATGTTTTTGTATAGAGAATGTAAATGTGCATCTGGAAGTGTTGAGTAGCGTCTACTGATGTTATGGATGTGATGCTGTGCAAGTTTTGTTTTAAAGAGATCAGCATCATGTGACAGAAGTTCAGACAGACAGGTTGAAAGGGAAATTTGACTATCAAGGTGCTGTTTTATCCTGGAATGGTATGATTCTACGTGGTGTGTTGTTGTGATGTATAGTGTTGCTAGTTCTGAGTTTCTGCATGCCGCCCGCATTTCAGATATGGACCACAAGTTGGTCTTGAAGCAGGCTTAAACATCAGGGCATGCAGAAATGATGTCTTGTTTTTAATGAATTAAAAAGGTGTTCACTGAGTGTGTGTTTGTTGCTGGAAAGAGCAAGAATTTTGTGGGCAGCATCCTTAGTGGGCACAGATTAAGGGCCCTAAACTTAGTCCGCTGAAAATATGTAGTTGCAGCCCCTTTGCTCCCCAGGTGACACACATGAAAGATGATCCTTAGAAACAGTAACATTTGCAAATAAATATTTTATTTCACAGCAGACATAGTGTGAAAAGTACATAATCTTATAAAGGCATTAGGAAAAAAAATTATGAATAGCACCAATTTCACTGAAATTTTTATCCACACAAAAAATATCAGTACTGTCACACACATTGTGCAAAACATTCAGACAAAATTTCCACAGACTCACTCCTTACCAAAGGCATGTAAAACAGGTACACCATTACCATTTGCATCAATACACATCCCATTCAACAACTGGTAAAAATACTCATTCACCTTGTAAGTACAGTCCACTATTAAAATAGTGCTATTAGCTCTCAATACATTAATCATTTCACTTGTCATCACAGACACAAACTCATTCTTATCCATATTTCATTACTCCTCTAGTAGCTCTAATCTCTTTCAATATCTTTTCTACCAATTCGACATCGCTGCCACTTTCCTTGAACTTTTTCCTATAATTAGCTACATCTTTAGGCAGTACACAACGATTCTGCTTTGCTCATATTATCTGCCTCAGTTCAGCAGTCTTAGTCTGGACCATAGTGTCCACAGTATCATTGAACTTTTTCCTGTGATTAGCTACATCTTTAGGCAGTACACAATGATTCTGCTTTGCTTCCATTATCTGCCTCAGCTCAGCAGCTGGAATCTTAGTCTGGATCATGGTGTCCACAGTATCATCTGACTGTATCCTCATGTTTTCAGGATACACAAGGGCAGTCTGGTACAGATGAGAAAGTTAAAAAAAAAATTACTATATCGGTAAAAGTATGAATGTGTGTATTAGAGTCTGTATATATATATATATATATATATATATATATATATATATATATATATATATATATATATATATATATATATATATATATATAAAATAAATAAATAAATATATATATTTTTAAATTAAAAAAATATATATATGTATATATATATATATATATACATATATATATATATACATATATATATATATATATATATATATATATATATATATATATATATATATATATATATATATTGTACTTAATTAGGCCTAATTAAAAGATGGGGATGGTTGAATGAATTGCTAATGAAGATAATCACAAATCTTAGATGATCTGTGGGGTGGTTATTATTAATATTATTATCGTATTATTATGGTCCAACATCGTTATCGATTTTATAAGTAAATAATGGCCCCACAGACATTTTTTTTTTATGTTGCTAATGTGAACAATGAACTCTGCCGCTGATTGGGCCGTGCACCAATGCTGCTGTTTTTTTCGTTGCCTTCCCTTATACCTTGTTTACATACCAACTTGATCCACACATTATTTGATGATCTCTGAAGGGGGAAAGAAGGAAATACTCAAAGCCACTAAAAGGGAAGTAACTTTAATATTTCAGCTATTCTAGATCTAGATGGCGTTGTTTTTATTATGATTATTAGTCCAAGGTAGGCCTTTTGATTATTGTATCGGTTCTAGATCTAGATCTAGATTAAGATTTATTATATAATATAGGCCTACTCTACTACACCTAGATCTGGTTTTTTAGATCTAGAATCTATTTATAATACTTTAACTTTAAGTACTATACTACTAACACTAAGCTTCATTAAAAATAATTAAAATAGATCTAGATATCTAGGCCTAAACTAAATGTCATAAAATAAAAAAAATTTGATCTGGACAATGTAGTTAGAGTTAGAATCTGGTAATCTATCGTTTTAGGTACATAAAATCGCCCGCGACTAGTAATGTGAAAAACAGGTGACTCCTTACATTTTAATAATTATTTCACATTTTGAGGAGGATTTATTATTTATGTTTTGAAAAATACAAAAATGTTTCCTTGTTTCATTTATGTACCTGTTTCTAAACAATTGAATTAAAACTTTTCAGTAATAAATGAACACCAGCGATGTTTCCAACAGATGCAACCATGCTCATTTACTATTCTATAGCAGCCATCTTGTTAAAGTTTTATTTTTATAGACTTATAGCGCAAGATTCAGGCGGAAGTCACTCTATTTTACAAATGGCTGCTGTTTATATAGCAAATCTTGCTTGCAGACACTGCTGTTTTAAGTTAATTTCGGGCCTATATTGATATATTTAGCCATTGATTTAGGTTTATTATTCATTTATCTATAATATTTGACACAAACATATCACAATATACTTCTATTACAGCCTTGACAATGAGGTAACGTTTTCGTACATTAATAGCCGCGGGCGATTTTACGTACCCAAAACGATAGATTACCTAGAATCTAGATCTAGATTCTAGTAGTTGAATGTGTAGACACATAGATCTAGACTAGATCTAGATTAGATCTAGATCTAGATTAGAATCTAAATGTCACTAACTGATTAAAAACTAGATCTAAAGTAAAATCTATTCTCTAGACTCTAGACTTTTAGACCCGTATGCCTATATAAAATATATTAAAATATATTTATAAGACTAGAATTAGGCCTATATCTAGTATTATCTAGATCAGGGGTTCCCAACCTTTTCTTACTCTAGAGCACATTTTAGAATATCGGTATGGTGGCGGGCACCCCCTTTTTTAAATTGACAAACTCCTTCCAGAGGCGTAGCGACCCTTCCCCACACCTGGGAAACTTTCGATTTGCACCCCCCCCCCCTCCCTCAAACTTTCGATTTCCATCCCCTTCAACCTTTCAATAATGTTTATGAAAAAAATTCTGTCTCTGTCGAATAGTGAGAGGCGGGCACATACGAATCGTTCAGCGGGCGCCATGGCGCCCGCGGGCACGGGGTTGGCAACCCCTGATCTAGATCTATCCATTAATCATTATTAACTTTATTAGGCCTAGATCTACTGATTTTTCAATCATCGAGTGAGTCATAGTTTGGCATTGAGGATTGTTGGTGATGGTCTGTACTGTACCTAGCCCTAACCCTAATCCTAGCCCTAACTCTAACCTAGCCCTAGGTCACTGCGCATGCGCAGAACTAGATCTATCTTTTACTGACCAGGTGGAGACGCTGGGGTGAAAAATATTTTTCCGAGAAGTCACTTCGTAAAGATTAAGGCCTAAAGCCTTAAAGCTTAACTAGTAAGCTAATAACTATTAACACTAACTAGGAATAGGCCCAATTAATAATTAGGCCTAATAATCCAATTATTAAGCTAAGTCGCCATTTCACAGCATTTGGCCTACTCATTAAATTGTTACTTGATTACTTTATTTATTATTACAACTTAAACACATCATACCTGATAATGTTAGATCTAGGGCTCTAGCTAGTGTACCTCGGCCCTTACACTAGACTAGATAAAACTTGCTTAACAACACGTAATTATTTTGGGTGGGGCGGGATGTCTTACGTAATTCTTTCAACATCCAAGCAGCGAAAGGGTTTTGCTTATTTCTTGACCACTGCCATTGCACCTGAATGCATTTGTCAATCATCACAAAACAGACATACAGATTATAATAAATTTCAAATTTCTGGGAAACTTTTGAATTTTTTTTTTACAAAAACTGATGACGCAATGTAAAGGATGAAGACTTAACACATATATCGACAAGTTGAACAATACGATAATTTTTTCAATCTTCAATAAACCAAAGCAGCCTAAAATATAGATAAATATTTTTTCCCAATCATCCAGATGAGACTGACTAGCATGTGTACTTTTCTATCTGCTTACCACAAAATGTCATATTCACACTTTGTCTTATGTCCTTTCACCATTGAATCACATATGTCCAACTCTCAATCCACAAAACAGTTAACTGTAGGGCATGATTTCATCTTGGCTCACCAAGAATATATTGTAGTTTAGTTTAAAAAACTCACATTATTAATCTAAACCTACTTTTTTTCATTAAAAAAAAACATTTAATGTGGACAATATACACAATTATTTATAAATTATAATACACAGGCTGTATATATATTACAGTGTTACCTTGAGATATCAATTTAATTTGTTTCTCAACCTTGCTTGCGTGTCAACTTTCCCCTTTGAAACTAATTAAAATGCCATTACACCATTTCTGTCTCGCATAATACCACCCTAGTTGTTTTTTTTAATTTTAAAAAGTAATTTATAAATGACACATTGTATGAGAACATAATATAATGTAGTAAACTAGTTTTTTTTATAATTTTGAATCCAGCCGTCTTGAGCTTACTGAAGATTGGGCAGAAATTTAGGGTGGGGGAGATAGACAGAGGTGCTTGATTTTTTTCACTTACTCTCTACATCGTTAATGCTGAGCTCTTGTTGTCACTTTCATTCACTTACTCATAACATTCTTAATACTACGATTTATAGAACTTAAGTAAACTTCAATGCTACTTTACAATTCTTTGTTACTTTCGCTTAATTTTTGCCACTACTTCTCGTCTCTATGGTCTTTGACTTGTTAGCCAAGTTTTCTTGCTTTCAACGGTGGGCAGTTTTAAAAAAAAATATGTCAAAGGAGGTTTGCTTCTTTATTCCTTTCAGAATGTTGTGGAAATGAGTAGGATAAGTGTCATTAAATAGCTTAGATGCACAACTAGTTGCAAGTGGGTGCAAATTTATGATAAAAATAGTAAGTACAATTTTTAAGACCAATCACATATTCACTTCACTTCTGATAGATGTTTGAAAAAAATTGGGTCTAAGTAGTCTCTTATTGCAATAAAATTAGAGAATGAATTCAGCTATCTTAATTTTTTAGAAAGTGTGTGCTTAAGTTGAGTTCTTAGCTGGCAGAAAAAAAGGGGAAAAAACTCCAGTTGCTGAAGTGCATCACTTTTTTTTTGATTGTCATACAGACATAAACTTGAAATCCACATAAAAAACAAATCCACTGTTTTGTGACTGATTTGAAAAATCATTTTGGAGTACTTATCCTTGTATTTCAACTTTTTCTCATGTTTCAAAGCAAAACATTATTCTCTTGACTGCTTGTATGCTAAAAAAATCTTTTATATTAAGCCACTCAGATTGAGGCACCAGTAATTAATTAACTCAATGTATTTGCTTAAAAAATGTTTTGGCTTTCTAATTAAAATTAACAAAAAAAATTTATTTTTGTTTCTAGTATATTTCATCATCTTAAAGCTATGAAGATGCAAGATGAAAATCTGTGCAAATCATTGTCAAGTTCAATGATGTTTAAACAGGAAGTAAATAGCGCTGAAGAAATGAACCTTGATGTATCATCATTATTTTCAAGTTTTGAAGACATGAATCCAGATGAATCAACACCATTTAGTGAACAACAAAATATTTCAAACGTGCAGTTGAACGTTTCATCAAATTTATCTGCAGACAGTGAAGTGTTTTCTGTTGTGAAATCAGAAATTCATAATGAAATAAAAGAATTGCAGCTTTTGCATATTCAATTGATAGATGATCTTCCTGTAAACCATCAGTTTATTCATACAGGATGGAAAACATACACATGTGACATGTGTTGTCAAAATTTTGCTCACTTAGATCAAATTACACAGCATTTGAATGTTCACACTGGAGAGAGGCAAGATGATCTGTATGATGTGTGTCAAAACAATTGTGCTCCGAGGAATCCCAGGAAAAAACGTATACAAAATTTATCAGGAGGAAAAAGACTGAAGACTGTTGTAAAACTGCATAAGAAAAAAGCGCCTTCTAAAGTCACTAAAGATAAGCTACCTGAATGCAAAATTTGTCACAAAAAGTTCAGTCGGAAGTCATATTTACATGAACATAAAAAAATTCATTCTGAAGAAAAAAGACATGAATGTGATATTTGTCATAAAAAGTTTCTTCAAATAAATTACTTAACTTATCATAAGAAATTTCATTCAAGTGATAAGAAATATGAGTGTGATGTCTGTCATAAAACTTTCTTACGGAAGTCTTACGTATCACAACATAAAAAAATTCATTTAGGAGACAAGCCATTTGAATGTGATGTTTGTGATAAAAAATTTATTCAAAAGTGCCAGCTTACGGCACATCTAAGAGTACATACTGGAGAAAAGCCATACAAATGTGATATTTGTTATCTGAAGTTTAGACAGATAGCTCATCTATCTAAGCACAATGAAATTCATTCTGGAGATAGTCAATTTGAATGTAATGTTTGTCATAAGAAATTTCTACACAAGGCTTATTTATCTGATCATTACAAAATTCATTTTGGTGCTAAGAATCATGAATGTGATGTTTGCCACAAAAAGTTTGTTAAAAAATCTTACCTAAGTCATCACAAAAAAATTCATACTGATATCAAAACACATGAATGTGAGGTCTGTCATAAAAAATTCTTAAGAAAGTGTGATTTATGTCAACATAAATCAATTCATTTTGGAGAGAAAAAACATGAATGTGAAATTTGTTATAAAAAATTTGTTCAAAAGATTCAATTATCTAATCATAAAAAAATTCATTCAGGTGACAAGCCACATGAATGTAATGTTTGTCATAAAAAATTTGTTCAAAAGATACAATTATCTAAACATGAAAAAATTCATGTGGGTGGCAAGACACATGAATGTAATGTTTGTCATGAACAATTTGTTCAAAAGATACAATTATCTAAACATGAAAAAATTCACGTGGGTGGCAAGACACATGAATGTAATGTTTGTCATGAACAATTTGTTCAAAAGATACAATTATCTAAACATGAAAAAATTCACGTGGGTGGCAAGACACATGAATGTAATGTTTGTCATGAACAATTTGTTCAAAAGATACAATTATCTAAACATGAAAAAATTCACGTGGGTGGCAAGACACATGAATGTAATGTTTGTCATGAACAATTTGTTAAAAAGACTCAATTAATTAAGCATAAAAAAGCCCATACTGGAACATAGGCATAGGATTTTGATGTCTGTAATACATATTTCTTGGGAGATCTTTTTTATCTTATCAAGAGATTTATTGGAAATCGACATATGTAGCAAGTTCTCTCAAAAGACAAGTTTATTTCAACACTTATATGAAAAAATAGCTTGTTTCTTGTTTGTTGTGAAATAGATTGTTGAAAAGTAAGCATATAAAAAAGTCAAGCTTAAGATAAAAGGCATGAATATTGTGGGATGTATTTAAAACTAAACTGTGATAATGAAATTTTTACATTGTATATGTATTTCCCTTTTTTTAAAATTTGTTATATACCCAATTTAATTTTTCTATTGCACTTTGGTAAACAAATTCTAAAGTATGATTTTCACTTTGAATCTTTTTATTGTAAAAAAAGTAGACATACACATTTTTTTTTTCATGCTATAACTATAATCAAGGGGATGTATCTCTTTTTGAAGTGATGTCTATTCAATTAGTCCACCACATATATTATCCCTAGGCACTTTATTCTTAAGCTCATGATCCCTCTAATGTTACCACTAAATAGTTTGGACATTCCACTATGGTTTACGCACAGATTGTCACTCGGACTAGGTAACAGTTGTATAGCAATATACTTGTCCAGAGTAACATACAAATAAAAACTTGAAATTTATTAAAGTGATTAAATTTTTACTAAAGATTTAAGACTCTTTAGTAAATAATACATTTTTATTTAGACTAAAGTAAATAGATAATGTTTTGGTTTCTGCCTTTTTAAGTGTGGAAAAGTTTAGAACATGGAGTTTACAATGAAGGATGTTTGATTTACATGTAAATAAACATTTTGAATGCTTGTGAAAAATCAATATTATTCAAATTATTATTATTATGGTTGTAAATTTTTTCTATAAATATTTTACTCTGTCCATTACAATTGTTGATAATATGTAATGTGAAAAATTTGTCTTAAAAATATTACAAAGTATTTTTTCCAATTCAGCTACTTTTATTTGGCACATTTAATTATGGTACAGATTTTTTTGTTTATGAACAATTATTATGCTTATTAAACTTCTATCAGCTTTTAATGTTGGCTATTTTTTAAAAAAAAATGAGCAATAAAGGCAAAAGCAAAATATTTACACTCTGGTAATTAACTTTCTCTATAATCATACCTCATCTGTAGGTAAAAGTGTTAGTAAATAAATGTTTATTTTTTATATGCTTTGTAAAGAGAATTTGCATCATTTACCTCAGCACTGCAAAATATTTTTTTTCCTTAATAACAGACTTGTTTGTAAGGAAGCATTGACTGTTTACTACATCAGACATTTTACTGCTATACAGTCAATCATGACTCACAAGGGACAGCATGGCCTAGTGGTAGAGCGCTAGAAAGTATCAAGTTCGAATCTGGGGTTAAGTCAGTTGTAACCTCAGTCCACCCACTTCCAATTGGTCCTAACTCAGGTTAAGGAAAGTAAAGGCTGCTCGGCATGGTGTTGACCACACTATCCCTTCATATGCAGAGGTCACTGAAACAAACTCTACTTTTGCCCCAACTGTTTTGGGCTAGAACAGGATAAGATGATGATATGTGTCACATGAAAAAACCATTGGAAAATGTGAGCAAAAGTTTCCAGAAGTACATCCAGTGATCAGCTTTAGCCTTGCACTTCTCCATACAAGTTCTGGTTTAGCCTAGCATTTCTCCATATGGGTGCTGGTTTAGCCTAGCACTTCTCCATAGAAAGCCTAGCACTTATTCATACAAGTGCTGGTTAAGCCTAGCACATCTCCATACAAGTGCTGGTTTAGCCTTGCACTTCTTCATACAAGTGCTGGTTTAGCCTAGCCCTTCTCCATACAAGTGCTGGTTTAGCCTAGCATTTCTCCATACAAGTGCTGGTTTAGCCTAGCACTTCTTCATACAAGTGCTGGTTTAGCCTAGCCCTTCTCCATACAAGTGCTGGCTTAGCCTAGCACTTCTCCATACAAGTGCTGGTTTAGCCTAGCACTTCTCCATACAAGTGCTGGTTTAGCCTAGCCCTTCTCCATACAAGTGCTGGCTTAGCCTAGCACTTCTCCATACAAGTGCTGGTTTAGCCTAGCACTTCTCTTAAAAGTGCTGGTTTAGCCTAGCACTTCTCAATACAAGTGCTGGTTTAGCCTAGCATTTCTCCATACAAGTGCTGGTTTAGCCTAGCACTTCTCTTACAAGTGCTGGTTTAGCCTAACATTTCTCCATACAAGTGCTGGTTAAGCCTAGCATTTCTCAATACAAGTGCTGGTTTAGCCTAGCATTTCTCCATACAAGTGCTGGTTTAGCCTAGCACTTCTCCATATAAGTGCTGGTTTAGCCTCGCACTTCTCCATACAAGTGCTGGTTTAGCCTAACATTTCTCCATACAAGTGCTGGTTAAGCCTAGCATTTCTCAATACAAGTGCTGGTTTAGCCTAGCATTTCTCCATACAAGTGCTGGTTTAGCCTAGCACTTCTCCATATAAGTGCTGGTTTAGCCTCGCACTTCTCCATACAAGTGCTGGTTTAGCCTAGCATTTCTCCATACAAGTGCTGGTTTAGCCTAGCACTTCTTCATACAAGTGCTGGTTTAGCCTAGCCCTTCTCCATACAAGTGCTGGCTTAGCCTAGCACTTCTCCATACAAGTGCTGGTTTAGCCTAGCACTTCTCCATACAAGTGCTGGTTTAGCCTAGCCCTTCTCCATACAAGTGCTGGCTTAGCCTAGCACTTCTCCATACAAGTGCTGGTTTAGCCTAGCACTTCTCTTAAAAGTGCTGGTTTAGCCTAGCACTTCTCCATACAAGTGCTGGTTTAGCCTAGCACTTCTCCATACAAGTGCTGGTTTAGCCTAGCACTTCTCAATACAAGTGCTGGTTTAGCCTAACATTTCTCCATACAAGTGCTGGTTAAGCCTAGCATTTCTCAATACAAGTGCTGGTTTAGCCTAGCATTTCTCCATACAAGTGCTGGTTTAGCCTAGCACTTCTCTTACAAGTGCTGGTTTAGCCTAACATTTCTCCATACAAGTGCTGGTTAAGCCTAGCATTTCTCAATACAAGTGCTGGTTTAGCCTAGCATTTCTCCATACAAGTGCTGGTTTAGCCTAGCACTTCTCCATATAAGTGCTGGTTTAGCCTCGCACTTCTCCATACAAGTGCTGGTTTAGCCTAGCACTTCTCCATACATATGCTGGTTTAGCCTAGCACTTCTCCATACAAGTGCTGGTTTAGCCTAGCACTTCTCAATACAAGTGCTGGTTTAGCCTAACATTTCTCCATACAAGTGCTGGTTTAGCCTAGCACTTCTCCATACAAGTGCTGGTTTAGCCTAGCACTTCTCCATACAAGTGCTGGTTTAGCCTCGCACTTCTCCATACATATGCTGGTTTAGCCTAGCACTTCTCCATACAAGTGCTGCTTAAGCCTAGCACTTCTCGATACAAGTGCTGGTTTAGCCTAGCACTCCTCCATACAAGTGCTGGTTTAGCCTAGCACTTCTCGATACAAGTGCTGGTTTAGCCTAACACTTCTCCATACAAGTGCTGGTGGATGTAGCAGTGAGGTTTTTCTCTGGGTTGCTGTGATTGACATAGATTGCTGCCATTACATCTATAAACTGGGGCTTCAAAAAGTTTATGCTATGAAGGAGAGTGTGTATTATGTTATGAAGAAAAGTAGAGTCTATTATGTTAAGAAGTAAAGTAGAATGTGTATTAGTTAATGAAATCAAGTACAAGTATCTATTCACTACTCAATTACAGGGTACATTGTAGGGATGGACAGTATGTGATGTGTTCAAAGAGACTGACCACTTTGACAGGACTATAGTAGTCTTTATGCTGATCATTACCAGTAGCCTGTGTTGATAGCACTAGGGGGATAATTTGTTGGTGTAATAGATTGAGATAATTGTGAGGTCAAGGGAACTCACTCTTCTGTATTAGTATTATATTTATATTGTTATCTTGAGTGATGTCCCTTACATGTTGTTATCTATAAATAGTTGTCTCTCGCCACTTCCTTCCTCTTTGCATCATGGCTGTCTGTAAATAAAGACTGTTAACACCAATGTGGCTCCTCGTCAATCTATCACATTTTGGCGACGAAGGATAAAAATCTACTAGAAAGAGCACCTACTTACGCAAAAAAGAGGTTTGCTAGAGCTTATTAGCTAATTATTTCTAGAATAATGGCGCTGTATGGCCAAATAAAGCAATTTGATTCGAATGATGAAATCATTCAGGATTACCTAGATAGGTTAAGCTTTTACCTTGAAGCTAACAACGTGACGATAGAAGCCAAAAAGAGAGCTGTTTTGTTAACAGTCATAGGGCCTCAACAATTTAGGCTACTAAAAGACTTATGCGCACCAGCTAGTCTAACTACCAAGAGCTTTAACGAGCTGAGCAAATTGCTAACAGACCACCATGCGCCTACCCCATCAAAGTTTCTATGTCGAGCTAGATTTGACAGTAGGACTCGTCAACCAAACGAGTCGATATCAGAATATGTTGCTGCTTTACGTCATTTAAGTGAATTCTGTGAATTTGGAGAAACGCTGTCTGACAGACTATGTGAAAAGTTTGTGACAGGTGTAAACAGCCCTGATATTCAAAGAAAGTTGCTGCTCGAGTCAGATCTCACATTAGAAAAAGCAATACAACTTGCAACTTCATTCCAGCAGTCATCAGATGCGGCGAAATCTCTTACGCCTTCAGGGATCCATGCAGTAAACAGCAGGTTAGTCAATAAACATCAACCCCATCAGAGCATTCCAACTTATGCTAAACAGCCTGCTCGTTCAAATCCTAGATCTAAATCTAGTAATAATTATCAAAAATGTCATCGATGCAAAGGTCCCCATGCATCTCATCGGTGCAAGTTCAAGTCTGCAACTTGTTATAAGTGCAGTAAGCAAGGTCACATTGCCAAGGCCTGCTTTGCAAAGTCTTCGTCTGTTGCTAAATCTAGCCAGTCAAGACAGTACCGCAACCAAAGGCAGCACTATGTTAACTCTCACCAAGACTACCTAACCCAACCAATGAACCACTCTACCTGTGAAAATGCTCAAACTGATTCGCAGCCGGATTTCAACCTGTTCTCTGTGAAATCAATAAGTCATGCTCCCATCAATGTACCAGTTAATATCAACGGTAAGAGCATCAGCTTCCAACTTGACACTGGAGCATCTCTAACAGTCATAACAAAGAAAGATTTTGACGCTGTCACAGGAGGATCAGTGCCTCTACAGCCATGTCACAAGTGTCTAACAACATACACTGGTGACAATGTTCCGGTAATAGGAGAGTGTATGGTTCATGTAAGTTATAATGGTCAAAGTATTAAACTTCCTCTTCTTGTGGTTGAAGGAAATGGACCACCATTACTAGGTAGGAACTGGTTAAGTAATCTTAAGTTAAATTGGAAGAGTATATGTTCAGTGATCAATGGAAAAGAATCTAGTCTTACTTCACTAGATAAAGTAATATCTGAAAATAAAAGTGTTTTTGGCAATTCAGGTTTACTAAATGATAGAACAGTGAAGTTAAGCATTAAAGACACAAATCCAAGATACTGCAAAGCTAGAGTTCCACCTTATGCAATGAGGAATAAAATTGAAAATGAGCTAAGTAGATTGGAATCTAATGGCATTATAAAGAAGGTAGACTATTCCGATTGGGCGTCGCCCATTGTGCCAGTGTTAAAGAAGGATGGTTCTATAAGAATTTGTGGAGATTATAAAACTACACTGAATAAGCAAATAGAGCTAAATAGGTACCCTATTCCTAACATTGAGGAAATTTCTTTGAATTTGGCAGGAGGAGACAAATTCACTGAATTAGACTTTAGTCATGCTTACACTCAACTAGAACTGCATCCAGATTCAAAAGTCTATAC